TCCATGGTTATCTATTTTGATTCAAAAGCCTTGTGAAGATGTTATGTTAAACTTATATTAATGACTACATGACTTGTTATGGTAAATCACTTTATAAGGAACTTAGTCAACCCAAAGTCTTATTAATGCATCATTCTTTCTTTTAATTTTACGATGCGAGATTCTAACGGGATGTGTAACTCATGTGATTAGTTGTGGTGTCCTTTTAGCATTACTCATTCTAATTAACAATATTTAGTAAATAAAAACTTCTAACTTTTTGTCTTTTCGCGTTTTAAATGCTTAACAATGTCACTTGGTTATTGCAATTTCTTAAGGCGTGTGTGGTGCAACCCAAGTCAGAGATGGATCTTCAATTTGAGTCTACCAAGTTAAGCACTCCTTGGGGTTATGCTAGTGCCATAGCCCTATGCGTTACGACTTTTGGGACTATAGCTTTGACAAGTGGCTTTTTCCTCAAGCCAGATGCCACGGTTGATGACTACTTGGCTAATGTGGTTCCTCTCTTCACAGGCTTCTTGACCATACTAGGAATTTCAGAGGTACCCCACTGCAACTAAGATAAGCAAGGGCTGTCTAGAAGAGACTAATAAGATATGCTTGTGTGCAATTATGTATATGTTCTGCAAAACTGGTAACCATTTAGAAATAGGAATATAAAATATACTCCGTATCTCAAAATGGATAAACCACTTCACTAGTCACTTTCCTCACTTTTGATGGCTATTTTTTTAATCAAATTCTTCTCATATTCAAATTCAATTTTTGTGATTCAATAGTGCTATTAGTTTACTTTTTAAATTCATAATTTAATTTGTAATTCTAATTGAAGTATTTTCGGAGAGAAGTTAATCTTATCACTACTCAAACCTCAAAATTTACAACAAGACTTCCATTTTTAGGATGGAAGGAGTAATAAAGACCTTTTCTGTTTGTTTGAATCCAATTTGTTTAAAACGTACGTAAACTTATTTTTAAATTTTCTTTTCATTTTATTATATTTATGGGGTAAACTAAATACAAGAAATGAACTAATCTCCACATTTCGTTTTCCTTTCCATAACATTTTTCAGGATGCAAATTAAATTATTAAAACTTGAGTTTTCATCCTAAAGACTTAAACGAATTAATTCCAATTTTGGTCCTACGAGTTATGTGCCAATTTCACATTTAGTCCACGTCTTTCATTTTGTCCACTTTTGGTACTTGACTAATTTTTTTTAACCGTTTGTGGTCCTTTTCTGGCGATTTTAATCATCGGAAACAATGCCAGAAGGACCATATATTGACGAAAACACAATAGTCATGTATCAAAAGTGGACAAAGTGAAAGATGTGGACTAAATGTGGAATTGACCTAAAACTCGTAGGACCAAAGTGGAATTTATTCGAGTTAAACTCGTACAAGAAGCTGCTGAAAATCTTATGCGTTGTTTGTTACGGTCGATGTGATACACATACCCCTATAGTCTGAAACATATTAATATTATGGTATTCCTTCCTAAAAAGTTAATTACACAGGAGGAGTCACTCATTACCATAATGTTCTTAGGTGTTGGTTTATTATTACATATTTAGATGATGTAAGATACTTTTTTCAACACAAATACACCCTAGTGTGTTCTCTTTAAATTAGAAATAGGCAGAAGGAACCGATATGTGCATGAGCTATATAAGATTAAAAAAATATGCCCTGAACCTTTTATTGAAACAGTTAACAAAAATTTGTAAAGTTGGAAGTAATATGCCCTTATGTTCAAATAGTTGAAGGGTATATATGTTTTGTGATATATAGTTGAAGCGTATATATGTTTCAACTTTACAATTCATATGTTTAATTGTTCTCATACGAGTTTCGCGTATATATACTCAGATAGACAAACCTATAGTTCAATGGTTGTCTCTTTTCCCATCGGAGATATGATTTGTGTTTCATTTCATGGGGCAGCCTTTTGATATGCTTGCAGATAGCAACAAGAGTGGTAGCAGCTCAGTATGGTGTCAAACTTAGTCCATCCTTTCTTGTTCCATCCAACTGGACAGGATGCCTCGGTGTTATGAACAATTATGAGTCTCTCCTCCCAAATAAGAAGGCCTTATTTGACATTCCTGTTGCTAGGACCGCTTCTGCGTACATAACATCACTACTACTCGTAGTTGCTGCTTTTATTTCTGACGGAAGCTTCAATGGCGGTGACAATGCACTGTAAGTCACCTAACTCTGTTTAAAGATACTTGTTTGTGTACCTTTTGCCTTTTCACTTTACAGTACAGTTGATCTTCACTCCTTTGCAGGTACATACGACCTCAGTTCTTTGAGAACAATCCTCTGTTCTCTTTTATCCAATACGTTATTGGGCCATATGCTGATGATTTGGGGAATGTGCTTCCTTATGCAGTTGAGGGTGTGGGAGTCCCAGTTGATCCCCTCGCTTTTGCTGGTCTCTTAGGTGTGTTTTCTCTATAAATTTCGGAATACAGCTATTGTGTGAAACAAAATTGTGCAGAAACATATCAATTTAAAAGAAGTGATATTATGTTCACTTAGGCTGTTAGGCACTGTTGTTTACTGGAACATGTTTTCCAGTTTTCCTAGACATGCTTTATGATTTTCTGTGTTTGGCACATGAAAACATTCCACAAAAGATTTTGCTGTGACACTGTAAAGTCTTGTCTTTGATAGTTTAGGCTAAGAAAATGCTAAGAAGTTTTATTTTCTAATATTTGTATCTACTTTAGGAAATGCAAAGGTAAGTAAAATAAAATTAATTTTTTTTTAATTTTTTACCTGTGTATAGATTTTACTAATATCTATATAGTACAAATAAATAAACAAATACAAAAATTATTTCGAACAAATATTAAATCTAAATTTGTTGAATTTGAATGTTTCTGTTATTTTCCTCAATATTTTCTGTCCTTCCAATTTCTCCTACATTTTTCTTCCTATTTTCTTTCTTTTGTATTTTCCCTGTTCTAATGTGTTCCTTAGGGCATGTTTGGGTCATGGAAGTGCTAGGAGAAAGGCAATAAATGTTCGTGAAAGTTATTAATAATGTCTGGTTTTATCTTGGAAAATGCAAAGGGAAATGATTGGTTCTTAAATTTTCTCCACATTTATTTATACTCCGTATATCTTAGGTTAGAAGTACATAGAAATAATTCAATAAAAAGAGTTTGAACAGATATGTGAAGTATATTCATTGGGTTTTAGCTACTTAGCCTACTCTTGTATTTTCCTCCAAATCATCTTTCTTTCGTTTCCATTTTCCCGTGTTTCCTTTCCCTAGTAGTTTATGAGGTCCATATCAACCCTTAAAATTTAGTGGAAAATGACCTCTTCTTCGAAATAAGGGAAGTTATTTTCCTGAAACTGTCATTTTTTCTATTTTTGTGCGTCAAACATTCCATTAAAAGAAATGGTTCAAAGTTGGAGTAAACATGATGAAAGTTTAAAAGTAGGACTAATTATATTTTATCCCCAAATGGGACTTCTTTAGTCCTATTGTTCTAATAAACGAATAAAAGAATATAAGATTTCTCTTCTGTGAGAATGAATACTAGTTGAAGAAATGTGCTCAAATGCTTTACTCTTATAGAAGGCATTTTCCCTATAGTATACACATCATCACAACTTATTTCCAAGAAAACATTGTCTACCATGTTATTTACCTCTACATAAATGCTGTCTTAAACAAATGATTCATTTGAAGGAATGGTCGTTACGTCTTTGAATCTGCTACCGTGTGGAAGACTTGAGGGAGGCCGAATAGCTCAGGCGGTGTTTGGCAGAAGCACTGCTACATTGTTGTCCTTTGCAACTTCACTCCTCCTGGGAATTGGCGGCATAAGCGGAAGCACTGTATGTCTGGCATGGGGTCTCTTTGCAACCTTCTTCCGGGGCGGAGAAGAGATTCCGGCACAAGATGAGATAACCCCGTTAGGAAACGAGAGGTTTGCTTGGGGTTGTGTACTCCTTTTGGTGTGTTTCCTTACTCTTTTCCCCAATGTGGGGGGTACATTCTCTAGTTCTTATTTTGGGTCTCCATACTTCAGGGGAGACTTGTAAATGTGAAGTTGAAGTGTAATCATTTTATGTTTACGTTACGGTGTATGTAATTTGAAAATTTTCATTTGTACACAAAATTTGCACACATTTGACACACTTTCCTGTACACACAAACATCTTGTCTAGGAAAAAACAGCAATTGTCTGTCTACACATGTGGTCATGTGGATGTAAATATACATAAAATGTATACCGACTAGTTGCTTGTGTAGACAGGGAACTCGTTTAGAAAAAAGCAGCAATTGTTCGTGTAGACATGAGAGACAGCCAACTAGTTTAGAAAAAAGCAACAAGCCAACAAGTCAACAACCATGGCCCATCCTTTTAATGTTTTCGATTTGATTGAAATTTTGTAGTCTTGTCTGGTTTGAATTGGTCATGTCTTTTAAATGTCTGAATTATGTGTATTTTATAACCATCGAAAGTTTGATCTAGTGTAGTCTGTTTAAATATGGTACGATTGAGTTTGTTAAGTTTAGTTTGCTTCGGTTTGGGACTGAAATTGATCCAAATAAAAACATGAGCTTTTTCCTTGTATATTACCTAATTGGCTAATTGAAGCTAATTTTCAAAAAGTGATCATTTTTATAAAAAGACAGAAAATGTGACTAAGGTCACATATAAGTAAAACACATGATATCACTGCTAGATTTTTATGTCACCATTATATGTCACTATCAGATTTTATGTAACTTTTGAATGTCATTACAATTGCCAGAAAATTTTTCGACAACCTTTCCCGATGAAACTGTACACTCCGGCTGATCATAGTTTTCATGTCACTACGATTTTTTCATGACATTATTATTTGTCACTAGCAAATTTTAATGTTATTTTCAGATGTCACTGTCATCACAAAACATGACATTGTTTGATACTTACACGGAAATTCATTTATAAAAAAGATAAGTTTGATTAAGAAATAAGAACACTCAGATTAGATAAAATGACTCAAATTGGGATGAAATCTACTAATCTAGATACCGCCGACGTACGAAAAGAATCTTGATCAAATTGTTTAGTCGACAGGACCCGACCCGGTATATTCATCATTGGTCTCTGAGTAATCTTTTCAAAGTTCACTTCTCAGCCTCGATGAATTCGACTCTTGAAGCACCTTCTGCTAACAGTCCGGTTTAACTTCATAGAAAGTGAATCCGTCAGCATTCCATGTCTTCCTCTCTGCTTCTCTCCCGGCCTCCTGGTCCGGCCACCGCCGGCTACTGTACTGATGCTTCTATTGGGTTTCAAAAATCAAGTTTTCTTTCCACCACAAAGCTGATCTTTGCACCCTCCAGGCCCAACCGTAGAACTAAGAAGAGCGGATTGGTAGGAGGTTGCTCTTACCGGTCTCCCGTAGCTTCCAAGTCAAGCAACCACATACCCAAACAGTTCCGAGGGGAGAATCTCAAAGATGGGTGTCCGTCTCATTATCCCTTCTTATTGTTAGGCGACATTTTATTTTATTGTTTCATGCAATTCTTATTAGTCTATGTTCTTAAGTCTCAGTTCCTGCCATTTTAGGTATATTTCTGTTATTTTCTTGTGATTGTTGATTTTTTCTAGTAGGTTGATAAATAGCAATTGGACTGAGTTTGACACTTTCTCTTTCGATCTTTTTTCCTTAATGTCTGGAGTAAAATGAAAATTTCTTAGTAAAGTAGGCCTGTGGTTGTATGTCTTCTTTGTCATTTTCTTGGAAGTTTGTTGAAGAGTTCATGAAATGGTATAGTAGCTATCTCTCAGAGAGGCTAGTTCCCTTTCGGAAAATGAACCTGCAATCCTGCATTCCTGCATTGAGTGCAGTCACTTATTATTTGCAAGGCATTGTTGAAATTTACTCCATTATCCCTATTAATTACTTATGTAATTAATTTTCTTTGTAGTGATGGAAAATTATGAAAATGTTCCTCAGTCCCTCTACGGCCTTACTCCATCACAGATGAACATCTTCATGAAAGAAGACAATCCTGTAAACAGGCAATCTAAAAGTGTCAATGAGGTCTGTTTTTTTGTAATGTATGATCTCTAAGGGCCTTCATTACTAAATTGTGAAAAGGTCCTTATGTCTATTGTGATCTCATAGGAAAGCATATCGTCAAGGCACAATTATCTGAGCAAATGTGGGCTGTGGACCGATGATGGACCTGAAATGCAGAGTATGAGTATGTCCATGTACAGTAGAATGGCTGGTGGGCCCATTGGCAGATACGATTCTGAGCCTCCCGATTTGCCATCAGAGCTTCTTAAAGCTCGAATTGTGTATCTTGGCATGCCGGTTGTGTACCACTCTCGCTCTACTTCATTCCTTTAAACAATGTATACTCCCATATGTTGTTCTAGTAAGTGAGTTTTGTTTATTCTAAATTTGAATTTGGTCCAACAGATTGTGCCATCTGTTGCTGAGCTTGTTCTTGCTCAGTTAATGTGGTTAGACTATGAAGATACTTCAAAGCCTATATATCTTTATATAAATTCATCTGGCACTCAGGTTAGTTGATTAGTTCATGTTACTCAGTGTATCATCTTACAAACAATATTACTCCCTCCATCCCCCTATAATTGTCTCATTGTTCCATTTTTGGATGCCCCCCTATTATTGTCCCATACCATATTTGGTAACATTTGGGTGGCTCTAATTCATTCTTAATTTCTTACTTTATTTCCACTTTATCAACTCATTATCAACCACATAATTCTACTTTTCTTAAAAACCACCACTCCCTTCCGTTCCAATATTAGGGGGACTGAGGTTGTAATATTTATGTAAAAGGCAATGTTGTCAGGTTCTATTTCAAAAATAGGAATGGAAAATGTGTGGCATAATGGTTGATGGTATTACATAGGAAGGACTTCATAACTTTGACCTTGGTTTTTTTACATGCCTCCTAACACTGCTTTTTAATGTTTACCCATCCTTTTGTAATTACTAATTAGTTTACTTACATTTGATATTTTTTGGGCAGAATGAAAAGAGGGAGTTGGTTGGTTCAGAAACAGATGCATATGCAATAGCTGACTCCATTGGCGTGAGTATCTCGGGTGGCATAATCATCACCATCATGCTTAAATCAGGATTTCATTCCGCTAACTGTTCCTTTTTGTTTAACACAGTTCTGCAAATCAGACGTGTACACAGTGAATGTTGCTATGGCACATGGTCAAGCAGCTATGCTTTTGGGAATTGGGAAGAAAGGCTACCGAGCTGTACAACCACATGCTTCCAGTAACGCCTATGCTAATGACTTCATTCTTTCTTTCAAAATGTCATCTATTGTGAATGAATGCAACATCATTAATAAGTGCATGTTCTAAGCATGAGGGGTGGTAGAGTTCATAGTTCATTCATTGATATTGATAAAATATAGAAATACTAAATAGTAGTATAGTTTTCAACTTTTCATAGTTTTCAGCTTTTCATAGTTTTCAACTTTTCATAGTTTTGGTAGTAATTTTGTGGCTTAATACAAAAAGAATCTAATCTTTGAAGGAAGTGACCAATTTAAATACTCCGTAGCGTTTATCGTATTAGAATTCACGATAGAATAAGGATCAGTTTAGTTTCTTGCACCGAAAGTTGTTCATTTTCAACGGAATCTATCCAACTAAGATTTCTGTCTTCTTGCAAAGTGTGCAATCTTATTTAATCGATGAAATTCGATTTTCAATTACCAAGACAATGAAGAAATAAAAATTAAAAAGCTTTTAGATATGATGAGGAAGGAATTGTACTGACACATAGTCTGTGTGAAACTAAAAGATTTTAGTGTACGAAGTTAAATGGATCTTACTGTCTTGCATTTAAAACAACAGATGATATTTAAGAAAACATAAAGGATGGACTAAAACCTGTCACCGACACACCACCTTCAAATTTTTGTGTGTGTTTTCAAAGCTCCTGGATGTGGTTTTAACTTTAAGAAATAAACATTTACATTTTTTGAACCCATTATCTCCTTTGTAGATAAGATCCCGGTGATTTTTCTCCTAAAAGTTGCAATGACAAACAATGCCCTGAAGCAAATATAACATAGAAATCAAGAATGATCGTGTTAAAAATGTCATAATTTTGAAAATGGTTCCTTTTGTTACCATAGCCTAGCAACGAAGGTCAGAGCGTCAATAAACTTCCTCATAAGGCTCTGATCCCGCGGCGTAGTATAACCTCTGAGAGACATAATAACAGCCTGTGAGAATGAAATGTTTTGCAGGTATTGATATAGAAATATTGCATTTGAACAGGATAGTTGCCTAGATTAATTTAAGTAGGATTCAGATTTGGGTTTTTTATTCATACAGCCTTACAGGGTTTAGCTCCTTCATTTTTCTAGAAATCATCAATTGTAAGAAAGACATGTATAGTGTATACTATTCAGCATTTATAACTCCGCTTCATTATATTTGGTGCAATGCAGCGAAACTGTATCTGCCTAGTGTTAGCAGATCAAGTGGACCTGTCACTGATATGTGGATTAAGGTCTCTCTTTCTCTCTTGTCGCTCTATGTCTCTCATTTTTATAATGAGAATGAGATGCACTCATTAGTGTATAGTACAGGGAAAGGAGCTGGAAGCAAACACAGATAGTTACTTGGATCTATTGTCAATGAGTGTGGGTAAACCAAAGGAAGAGATCGAGAGAGAGATTCGGCGGCCTAAATATTTGTCGCCACAAGAGGCCATTGACTATGGCCTTGCAGACAGGATTATTCAACCAGAAGATGATGCCTATGATAAGCCTGTAATTTTTCATCATCTCTTTCACATCACTCTCTGCTCTTTTTTTGTTCCCCATCTTGCAAAAATTGAATAACAATAATAATAATCATTATTATGATGACACTAATCATAGTTGATCAGCAGGCTGATGATATGCTTGCCCGGTCAATAGCAATGAGGAGGGCAGCAGCAGCGGGGCGGGGGGCACCTACTGGCTCTGGGTATAATAGAGGTAGGTAGATAAGCAACCACAACCCAACCATTGACCAAGCCTTCATTACTATACTACAATTGAGTTCTTTTTTAGCACAAAAAATGGAATGGGATCTTTATGCGTCTGTTCCTAGTTGTGATCCCTTAGGAGTATCTGGGATTGAGGCCTCTGTCCAATGAACTTACCTTTTTTTATTACACTGTTACTTTAACCACATGAGTAAGGCATGTAAAGTATTGTGAATGAAGTCCCCTATGCACTATTATTGTGTTTGTCTACAAAATATGTATTGGGGATACTTTCCCCTTCCTTTTGTTAAGTGTTCTCTCAGCTACGATCATTCCATCAGAATGAACTGAATCCAAGTGACTGCTTGGGGAAAGCTCAAGTGCTGATTGAAAAGCCTAGCATGTGCTTGTTGCTTGGTGTCCTTGGAGGAGCAAAATTTTCTATTTTATGACTTACTATCCAAGTTCTGCTCCAGGCTGGCAATACTTTTAAGTCTTTAACAACAAATGAAAGAGTGGCAGTTATAAATCAACTTTGGAAGGCTAACAAGTGAGAATGAATATTGTAAGATCAAAAAGCTCATTTGCTGCTCCTTATTTGTTATGGGTCGGGGTGGACTTAAGCACAGAACCAGATCTGGGCTGGTAAAGTGGTAAGTTTCTTTGCAAAGAAACTGGACTGGGTTTCCAGTTCCAGCTGGACCAGAAATCAGACCGGTATGACCAATTCGATTTGATTTCTCTAAAGTAGGACCGGATTGGTTTTGGCCCCAGATATTTGTTTTCCTGGTTTTGAAAAAATGCTAAAGTACCAGAATTTGTATCTCCAATTCTCCTGATTACGTGACCCAGGATTGGCTGGTTCTGAACCACGCTGGGTCTATCCCTAGTTGTGGGTTTCCCATTCAACCGCAACAAATGCTCCGTAGTAACGGGAACAGGACGGTTTTGGTTTCTTTCTGATTCAATTATATCATCATCATTATCCCAGTGGTGCAAAGGCTCCCACTTATGATCGGGTAAGGGGTTGGATGTACGCAGTTTTACTTATGTACTATAGCGCAAAGATATAGTGAAATCGCGTCAAAAATTGCATTGACGGATTGCTGCTTCATAACAAAGAAACGTAAACATTTTGGTGAGTCATTTTGCTTTATTTCGTCATAATCTCAAGCCAAAAAACAGTCGGTCTTTGGCTTTATCCAAACAATGGAAAAATGGTTTAATTATACTCCCTCCGTCCCAAATTGATTTGAAAAGTTAACATTTTTTGGTCAATCAATGTTAAAGTTAAATCCTTCATATTGATAATTAATTCAATTTTTAGTGATTAAAATTTACATATTTAGAAACTACATTAAAAACTTTTCAAAGTTTCAAACTCCAAATTAAAATATAATTAAAAATTATCATCTTAATTACATTTTTTGGTTCAGACCCAGGATTGGCTGGTTCTGAACCACGCTGGGTCTATCCCTAGTTGTGGGTTTCCCATTCAACCGCAACAAATGCTCCGTAGTAACGGGAACAGGACGGTTTTGGTTTCTTTCTGATTCAATTATATCATCATCATTATCCCAGTGGTGCAAAGGCTCCCACTTATGATCGGGTAAGGGGTTGGATGTACGCAGTTTTACTTATGTACTATAGCGCAAAGATATAGTGAAATCGCGTCAAAAATTGCATTGACGGATTGCTGCTTCATAACAAAGAAACGTAAACATTTTGGTGAGTCATTTTGCTTTATTTCGTCATAATCTCAAGCCAAAAAACAGTCGGCCTTTGGCTTTATCCAAACAATGGAAAAATGGTTTAATTATACTCCCTCCGTCCCAAATTGATTTGAAAAGTTAACATTTTTTGGTCAATCAATGTTAAAGTTAAATCCTTCATATTGATAATTAATTCAATTTTTAGTGATTAAAATTTACATATTTAGAAACTACATTAAAAACTTTTCAAAGTTTCAAACTCCAAATTAAAATATAATTAAAAATTATCATCTTAATTAAGTGATTAAAATGAAATTGTTTGATCAAGAAAAGTAAATTTTCCAAATCAATTTGGGACGGAGGTAGTATAATATAAGTAAATAATATTTGCATATATAATTTAAGTTATAATCTATTGTAGTAATATGCAAAGAAAAAAAAAAGAGGCGAACCGTTGGGGAGTGGGGACCAGATGGGAACTAGAAACTGGCCGCTCCGGAACTTGAACCGGTCTGGGAACATTCGTAAATGAACGAACCGCACATGGGACTATGGGAGTAACAAACAGGGGTGCAAAAGTGGATAGTTTTTCAAGATAATAAAAAATATTAGGAATGGGCAAAATAGTTTGGTTTGACCGAATCGAATCGAACCAAAAATTGGTGGTTTGGTTTGGTTTTACTTAAGTAAACCGTAAATCGAACCAAATACCAAACAACTCGATATATATATATATATATATATATATATATATATATATATATATATATATATATATATATATATATATATATATATATATATATATACTTTGTATTTTTTTGTCACTCTTCACCTTTAGGATATAAATAAATAATTTAGACATGAAAATACAAATTTAGGATATATCATTTTAACTTTTACACATTTCATACATTCATTATGCCAAAATTAACTAATACGATATATTTGTATTTGTTATGTTTTGTACTCTACCTGTATGAAAAGATATTTGACGATAACAATAACCAATTGCATTTATAGTTTAAATGATTCATTTGAATAAAATTGTGAATATTACAACATTTATACCACTGACTCATTTAGTTTTTTTGAATATTATGTGAAATTATAAATGCTAACCCACTATAAAATTATTTTTTGTGAGAAGTGAATCTTTTTTCTAGTGATCGAAAAGATGTTAGAAGTTTTAATTTATAATATTTTATTATTATTTTTCTATCTTTTATTTTGTTTTACATTTTATTTAAATAATTCTAAATTGTGCCAAATAATTTTTACTTTGGTAAACCGAACTTCAAACGAATCGAACCGAAATCAAACCGAAATTCAAATGGTTTTAGTTTGGTACAAATTCTCCCAAACCGAATAAACCGAAACCGAACCGAAACCAAAGAAAACCGAACCGTGAACCGAATTGCCCACCCCTAAAAAATATATTGAACTAGAAGAAATAAGTAAATAACAAATGAAATGAAAATCTATCATCATTTTGCCAAGTTTCTATTTTGAATAGGCTAACAATGGATCTTGATATGTGTTATTCCATGCTTGTATTTATCAGGTGTATTCCGTGTATGAATTAGAATATACTCCGTAGAGACTAATAGAGTATAAGTATTCAGGTGTAAGAAACAACAAGAGATTATAATCCTTCTGTTAAAAATACACTGAACTAATAAAATCAAGAACAAAAGATAAACAATATACTTAACTAATAAAATAAAATAAAAAGAAATTAAGAAAAGAGATGGTAAACAAGGAAACTAATCGTAGACGTTTCTCCCTGGCAGCTTAGCGTCGCGTAGGGATTTGTCTCCCTAGCGGCTTTGCCGTCGCGTAGGGTTTCCTTCCACCAATTGTTTGTGTGACTCTTCTCTAGGCTTCTAGAGTTCTTTTTAAGGAAGCGTGAGTGCGATTGCAGGTTTTGGAAATGAATCCAAGGTTCAAGAAACGATATGTTTATTACTTTATTAGGTCTCGGGCCTATGGATACGGAACCGGCGGCCCGGCCCGAGTCCAAGCCTACTATTGTCATATTTCATTATAATAAACAACGGGTTATCATCAATTTGTCACATATTGACATAGTTTTGAGTAGATATTCTGGAAAGGTACCACAAATTTGTGTCAAAATCTGTGCAAAAGTCATTAGAAAAGTACCCCTGGACTTTAGAAAAGTTTTATTCGTACACCTTGGGTTAAACCCGGGGTTACACCCTATTTATTTACCCTTCACACAAACAAAAAAATATAAACACAATTTGAAAAAAAATTGTTTGTGTGAATAAAATTTGTCTGTAAACATGTCTCGTGGAGATAAAAATTTGTCCGTGTGATAAAATTTGTTAACACTACATGATGGCATGATGCGGTCATTTTTATCTATTTGGTGCAGTTACGAACCACATCAATTGGAAGGGCAACAAATAGTAGGAAAACGTATTTACTGCGGTTCTGAACTGCAGCAAATAGTTATTTAAAAATAATAATTTTAACTTATTGTTGCGGTTCAGAATCGCAGCAAATAGATAAATGACCACAACAAAAACTCTACTATTTGTCTATTTGCATAATATTTTGTTTTAATATGCCACCAAAATTTATAAAGTTCATTTTTATCAAAATATATCTTATTTAAAAGATAAGAAACAATTCATTTCTACAATCCAATATTTCATTGGCACAAAATCAAAATGATAATTACAAGAATTAAGTTATACCACACCAAAATTCGATGACTACACCACAAAATTTGTTTCTTTTAAAACAAAACAGTAGTATTATGTACTCTTGTGCAGACTCTTGATCCATGTGTGCCGATCACGGCCTAACCGATGAAGTAACATTACTTCTACACACGTCAGGCCAGGACTCATTCAAGCATCTCCACTTGATTCAAACTGTTTATAAAGCCCCCACAATACTCAAATCATATATTCCTTGTTGCAACTGTGTTTCCAGAAAGCAAGAATTAAAAAAGCAGCTTCCATGTACCAACGGTTATATTCTCAAGTTTGTGAGAAAAGATAGCTTCCATGTACCAACTGCATAGATTTAGAATGAAAAAACAAATTAAAAAAGCAAGTTAGACTGCATTTGCTTATGATAATTGAAGATAAAAAAGGAAAAATTGATAAAAATAATCCCAACTATCATATATTTGCTTGAAACAATCCCAACTCTTAACTATTTCGAAATAATCCTATTTAAAAGATAATCTTTTCTAAATGCTCCCACTTCTCAGGCAACACTTCTCAGGCAACGGGTTCTCTAAATACGAACATAATTTTTATTTCTCATGCAACGGAGTATCAGTTTGAGTGGTCTGCATTTTCCATAGTTGATGGCTTTCCAGTGGGCTGCTTATTCTTATCATTTTTTCCAATTAGAAAAGGCTTTCCAGTTTTTAAACCCCAAGATCTCATGGTCTATATCAGTTTCTCTTCCATTGTTTTGCACACTAATATATAAAATTATACGTAGTACATGTTAACATTTGGCTGGGATGTACATCATGGAAATGGAACACACGAAAATCTTTGAAAGAAGCAAAGCAGTTTACCCTGGTACACCCTGGTACAGCAGCTGCTAAAGAGGTTGGTTCCATGGGTGCAGAAGGATACTGCGTGAATATTCCATGGACTTTAGCTCAAATTTATCAATAATATGCTGGAAGTAACTTCAGCACTATTTTATCAATATATTCAATTATCACATTAAAAATAGATATTAACATATTTTCAAAGAATTAATTCCACTTTTGGTCCGATGAGTTTTATGTCAATTCCACATTTAGTACACATCTTTCACTTTGTTCACTTTTGATACTTGACTAATGTTTTTTAACCGTTTGTGGTCCTTTTATGGTGATTTTAATCACCGGAAACATTGCCGAAAGAACCATATATAGGCGGAAACACAATAATGTATCAAAAGTGGACAAAGTGGAAGATGTGGACTAAATATGGAATTGACCTAAAACTCATAGGACCAAAAGTGGAATTTATTCTATTTTCAAATACAGTAATATCAATTAAAAGAAAAGAGAAAATATAGTGAATTGAACTATTTATTGAGAATAAAGATTACTTGCATTTGGTGGATCACTGGATTGTCCCTCTCCAGTCTACATCCAACACAAATTTTCTGAAACCTAATAAGCTTGCATCTTCAATCTCAAGAAACCAGAAACAAAGCATACTCACACGCACACAGATTACATTTGAAGTACAATAAAACTTACCTGCCCAAGAAGATGCCTAATTTGTAGGGCCAACTATATGAAAGTAGATTGAATACTGCAACATGAGTGCAACAACAACAACATCCAAGTCTTAATCCCAAAAGAATTTGGAGTCGACTAACATGAATCGATCTATGATATTGATGCCAAAAGGAGAAGACGGACAAGAAAGGGAAGAAAAAAAGTAAGATAAAATGAATAAAATAAAGATGAATAAATATAAGATAACAATAACACAAGAATATAAGAAAGATAAAAGATAAAAAATAAAAGAGCATAAAAAAGCTAAAAGATAAAAATAGCATAAGAATATAAAAAGATAAGGAAGATAAACGATAAAAGAAAAAAGAGAGGAAAGATAGACAAGACATCAATCGTCTACACGGATGTGCGTACTCCACTTTGCTCTCTCCACAGTCTGTTTGGATCTTCCCCTCCCTCTCTTCTCCGCCTCTTCTCCCCACCCCTCAAGTCGTCTAACAGGTGCATCACTCGGTCTTCTACGCACATGCCCAAAACACCGCAAACGAGACTCATGCATCTTATCTTCTATAGGTGCTACTCCCACCCTAGGAAGCACGGAAACGCCGGGTAAGGGGAGGTTTCCGTCCCGGAAACGTTTCGGAAACGCGAAACGCCGTGGAAACGGCCGGAAACGTTTCTGCAAGGTTGGGCTTCTGGGCCGGGTTGGGAAACGTTTCGGAAACGTTGCTGGGCTTGGGCCTAGGCGTTTCCGCAGCAACTTAAAAAAAAAAGGCTTTAATTAACTGGCTTACCTGCGTCGAACGAACTGCATCGAAGCCGTCGAACTAAGAGTCGAAGAGACGAAGACTCTGCGGACTGCGAACGAAGAATCTGCCAAGGTCGAAGGAGACAGTGTTGAACCGCGAACTGGGAAGTGCGAACGAGGTGCTGCCGCCGTGCTGGGTGTTGAAGTGCTGAACATTTGGTACTCTGGTTCTTTGGTTCTGCGATTCTGCGGACTGCTGAGGTGCGATTTCTGGCCTTCTGGGAAGTGCGAAAGAAAAGGGCGAAGTCGGCGAACTGGGAAGAAAAGAAAAGGGTTTGGAGGTTTGCTATTTGCTATTTGGTTCTCTACTTCAGTAATCAGTACTTCTCTTCAATTTCAATTGCAGTTCTAGACTTTTAGTAACTAGTAAGTACCTCACTACCAACCCTTTATTTATCCTCAAATATGGAACATACTTCACAAGTTAGTGATGGTGCCAGTGCTTCAGGGAGTTCTTCTGTTGGGGTTGATAATACACCTTTGTGGAAATTTGTTACCAAATTAGGTAAAAGTGCTGATACAGGAGGGACATGGAGATTCCAGTGTAATTTCTGTAATAGCATAAAACAAGGATCTTATTCTAGAGTAAGAGCTCACTTGCTTAAAATTTCAAAACAAGGAATTGCTATATGCAATAAGGTCCAACCTAATGATATTCGTGAGATGAAAAAGTTAGAAGAAGTTGAGAAAAATAAAAAAAAATTCTGCACCTAAAGATGTTCCTTTACCTTCAGCGGGATCACAAACGGATTGGATAAGTAATACTAGTTTACCTAATAAAAGAAAAGCTAGTAGTAGTTCGTTGGAGAAAGCTTTTGATATGGATGCTAGAGGGAGATTAGACGAAGAAATTGCTAGGATATTTTTTACTGGAGGGTTGCCATTTAATCTTGCTAGGAATCCATATTATGTAAGAGCTTTTTCCTTTGCTGCCAATCATAATTTAGGAGGTTATGTCCCCCCGGGTTATAATAAATTAAGAACTTCTTTACTTCAACAAGAGAAAGCAAATGTTGAGAGGTTATTACAACCACTCAAAGCTACTTGGCCAGAAAGAGGAGTGACGGTTGCAACTGATGGTTGGAGTGATCCGCAACGAAGACCTATAATTAACTTTATGGCAACTTCTGGAAGTGATCCCATGTTTCTGAAAGCGGTGAATTGTATGGGTGAATTTAAATCCAAAGAATTCATTGTTAATTTGATGAAAGAAGTAATTGATGAGATAGGTCATCAAAATGTGGTGCAGGTAATCACTGATAATGCTGCGAATTGCAAGGGTGCAGGAGAACTCATTGAAGGTATGTATCCCCACATCTATTGGACACCTTGTGTAGTGCATACATTAAATCTTGCCTTAAAGAACATATGTGCTGCAAAGAATGTGGAGAATAACATAGAAGTTTATGATGAATGTCATTGGATCACTGAAATCCATGGTGATGTTGTTCACATAAAAAAATTCATCATGAATCATACTATGATGTTATCCATGTTCAACAAATTCATCTCCCTTAAATTACTTTCTGTGGCGGACACACGTTTTGCTTCTATAATTGTAATGCTTAAGAGGTTTAAGCTTATTAGACGTGGTCTGGAGGCTATGGTGTTGAGTGATGAATGGGCATCATATCGTGAGGATGACCAAGGCAAAGCAAGGTTTGTGAGGGAGAAAATTTTAAGTGAGTATTGGTGGGAGCAAATTGATTATATTCTTGCCTTTTCGGATCCCATCTATAGTATGATTCGAGCATGTGATACTGATAGGGCGTGCCTCCATTTGGTATATGAGATGTGGGATTCCATGATTGAAAAAGTCAAAGTGGAAATCTATAAGCATGAAGGAAAGTCTCTCGATGAGTATAGTGCTTTCTACCAAGTAGTATACAATATTCTTGTGGCACGTTGGGCAAAGAGTTCTACACCGCTTCACTGCTTAGCCCATTCGTTGAACCCAAGGTATCATTATTAGTTAAACATGATATATATATATATATATATATATATATATATATATATATTTATAAAAGTTTGGTTTGTTATTATTTTTGTAATAGGTTTTATAGTGAAGTTTGGCTTGCTGCGGATCCCGCTAGGGTCCCTCCTCATAGGGATGGTGAGATCTCCCAAGAAAGGATGAAATGCTTCCGAAGGCTCTTTCCAAATGGTGATGATTACGATATGGTTTTGGAGGAGTTTGCTTCGTTTTCACTTAAGACAGGGCCTTTTGCAGATATTACATCTCTTTCAAAGAGGGGAAACGCAGATCCTAAAAGTTGGTGGGCTAACTTTGGTGCTCAAACACCAATCCTACAAACGCTCGCTTTTAGAGTTCTTGGTCAGCCTACATCTTCATCATCATGTGAACGTAATTGGAGTACTTACTCTTTTATCCATTCACTTAGGCGGAACAAGTTAACTCCTAAGCGTGCTGAAGATTTGGTGTTTGTGCACAACAACCTTCGCCTCTTGTCAAGGAGTTCTGAGCAATACGCAGATGAGAAGACCAAGATGTGGGATGTTGGAGGAGACGAGTTCGGCAATTTGGAAGAAATGGGCTATTTGGAGTTTGCTAATTTATCTTTAGATGAGCCGGAATTAGAGAGTGTTTATCACTGAATGAAACATTTACGTAGTGCTTTTTAAATTTTATTTATTGTGCTTGTAGAATGGATTATAACAAGGATGTATGTTTTGTTTAATTATTTTCTGGGTTGTTAGACATGCATTACTTATATTACTAAAAAAATTAATTTCTAGTGTGACGTTTCCTTGCCGTACCCGTTTCCTAATATTTTGAGTTTAGCGTTTCCCCGTTTCCGTCCCCGTTTCCGTTTCCGTCCCGGTGCTACTTAGCTCCCACCTTTTGTCTGAATACCTCATTCCTCAAGCGATCTTTTCTGGTATGTTCACACATCCAACGCAATATATGTATCTCTGTCACTCATCTTTTGAATGTGACATTGCTTCACCGCCCAACACTCTACGCCATACATTAATGTCGGCCTATTTGCTGTACGATAAAATTTACCTTTCAGTCTAGTCGGCATACCTCGATCGCATAGAAATCCTGAAGCACTCTTCCATTTCATCCACCCAGTTCTGATTCTATGGCATACATCTCCATCTAATTCACCATCTTTCTGAATTATGGAACCCAAGTAACGGAACATATCACACACCGGTATCTCCTTACCATCAAGAGTAATCCCACTGTTGTTACTACTTCTACCTCCACCGAACTTGCACTCCATATACTCAGTCTTGTTTCGGCTCAGTCTGAAACTCTTGCTCTCCAATGTTTGTCGCTATACTTCCAACTTTGCTTTAACACCGGATTGTGTCTCATCAATCAATACAATATCATTGACAAATATCATGCACCATGGTATATCTTCTTGAGTTGACTTCGTAAATTCATCCATTACTATAGCAAATAAGAAAGGACTCGGAGCAGATCCTTGGTGCACTCCGATAGTAATAGGGAATTCTGCGGTCCTCCCTACACTAGTGCGGACACTTGTAGTACAAGCATCATACATATCTATGATGATACTCATATACTTATTGATATGCCTTTTCAAGTTAAGGCCCACCAAAGAACTTCTCGAGGTACCCTGTCATATGTCTTTTCTAAGTCAATGAACACCAAATGCAGATCCTTTTTAGTGTCTCTATACTTCTCCATAACTTGTCTAAGAAGGTGAATTGTCTCACTTGTTGAGCGTTGAGGCATAAAACCAAATTGATTCTCCGAAATTTGCACACTTTTACAAAGTCTTTGCTCAACCGTTCGCTCCCAAAGTTTCATGGTGTGACTCATAAGTTTAATCCCTCGATAGTTGGCACATTCTTGTACATCACCCTTATTTTTAAATAAGGGAATGAGAGTACTATTCCGCCAACTCACTGGTATTTTGTTGTTTCTCCGAATCATGTTGAAAGAAACATGTTAGCCACTTGATGTCTTTCTCTCCCAAACTTCTCCAAGCCTCGATCGGTATGACATCTGGGCCCACTGCTTTCTTCCGCCCCATTTTTATCATAGCCTCTTTAACTTCTGTTGTTTGAATCCTTCTCACGAAGTCCCGATTTACCATACACTCTAGTATAGTAAGATCATCAATACCTTGGACTTTATTCCCGTTGAACAAGGCATCAAAGTATGACCTTCACCTCTCTTTTATTTCTTCGTCGTCCATTAGTACCCCTTGATCGACATCCTTCACACACTTAACTTTTCTTATAGCATTCTCTTTTGGTCCTTATTGCTTGTTTCACCTCATCATTCCACCAAGGCGAGCAAGTCTGTAGATATCTTTTTCTCCTTCCCTAGAGTCCAACTTTACATACAATTCCTTGTTGACTTTTCCTTTGGCTTCCTTCACAGCTTTCTTTGCTCTTCTTCTAGCCTCTTTGTACTCCTCTATGTTCTCGTCGCTCCAACTTTTAACCAATTTCTTATAGCATTCTCTTTTGGTCCTTATTGCTTGTTTGACCTCATCATTCCACCAAGACGTGTCCTTTTTTGATGGCACACATCCTTTAGATTCTCCGAGTATCTCCTTCGCCACTTTGTTAATGGTGGACTCCATTGATAACCACACATCATCCACATGTGTGTCATTATCAATAAACCATACATCTTCCTCCAACATGAGTGGAAAAGAATCAAATATATATACTGTATAAATATAAATATAAAATAGTTATTAATCATTTAGAGTCACCTCAAGTCCTGAGATCACCAGAAAGAAATAACAGAAAAATTGTAATCATTGATGTGCTGAATGTAAATCTATAACAAATACCACGATGAACAGATGAAGTGATCAGCACCACTAGTATACAATCAATGATAATAATGATATAAGTATATAACACAAACCTCAAAAGGATCAATTTCTTGATCACGAGCAAATCCAGCTAGTTCGTTCAATTTCGCCAACCTGAAAAATAAACCTACTACAAGTCAAATCATAAAGACATATTCTCTAGAGAAGTAGTCCATTATTGTGAAAAGAAAAGTATAAAGATCTAAAGTTCATGACTCATTGCTTTGTAGAATCCCTTAAAAGTCAAATCATTCATCTTTTGCAGATTTGTATCCGATTGCTCAATGTGTAAATCAGACTTTATTAAACATATAAACTAATTTTATTTATTAATACTTCCATTTTAAACTTTAAGAGTATTAAGATGCCACACTTACAGAGCTTTAAGTGGAGGGACACCAGGTTAAGTCAGAGGCAAGTCATCAACGACAAGAGCAAAGAACTAGACTTCACACAACAAACTTAAAGATAAAAGGCAGCAATTTACAGCAATTTCCATTTCGTAAAAGCACTCCTAATACATCAGTTGCTAAAGAGTTTAAGCACCTTGAAAAGGTCAAAAGGTACAGAGTATTTGATTCTAGATAATGAAGCTATGAACCTTTTGGTAACCAATTATATCAAAATAGATCTATTTACCATTCTATTCTTTCAGAACCTGGTAACGGGAAGCCTACACGTAATCCTTCTTTTGTTCTTCTTTCTTCAACCTTATATGGAACAAGGTGAACCAAATAATTAGTTTTCGCCCTTATCCGCACTGCGCCATCATCATTCACAGTGTTTAGTCAATCTTGCGCTGGTTGGAATAAGCGGAATCATCATAAAGGCATCACCAGGGGGGCAACTATGTTGCAGAGGTGGTGAAGGCAGCAGGAAGGCGACCAGATCAGTGACAGGACTTTTTGATAGGAATTATTAATAAGTGGGCCTATTATAGATATTAATAAGTGGGCCTGTGATTTTAATAGAAGGAAGAGGGTTATGGGCTATAAATAGTTGGGAAAATTAACTAATGGGGAGGCTGTGATTGAATTGGCATTTTGGCTTAGGAGAGTAGGCTTCTCGAACAGTCCTAGCTTTTGTATACGTATTGCGTTTAGCTCAATATCAATAAACACCTTCGATCGTTACTCCATATTTCTCATCGATCTATATTGTTTGCTGTTATATTACCTGTGATCTATCATTCCTATCATTGGTATCAGAGCAGTGGGGCGGTGATCGTTGGCAGTAGCGACATCACCGTATTTGCCCAATTTCATCGTTCGGATAGTGAATGGTTCGAACAAGAGGAAAAATGGAGCAACGTCTGGAAGCAGTTGAACGCAGTCGAACTACCATGGAGGAAGCACTGTTGCGGATGGAAACGATGATGCAGAACATGTCAGGAAGGATCGACACGATGAGCGAGGACCACCATCACCGAGGGAGATCGCGATCTCACCATAGTCATCACTCGCGTCCATCGCCCAGTCCAGCGGTCTCAAGAGGTAACTCTGCTCATTCGAACCCTGCTATTCACAGACGACATGATGAGTAGAATAGATTCCCAGTTCATACGGGTCGTAAGGTGGATTTACCATTGTTCAATGGTGATGGGGCTTATAATTGGCTAGTAAGGATGGAGAGGTACTTTAGACTGAATTATATTGCTGAGGAGGATAAGTTGGAAGTCTCGGTAGTGGCTATGGAAGACAGGGCTCTGAATTGGTTCCAGTGGTGGGAACTTCAGACCGAGGAGAAGAACTGGGAATCACTTAAGGAATCTATTATTCGTAGATTCCAACCTGACTTGTTACAGAATCCATACGGACCGATGTTGAGTTTGAAGCAGACTGGAACAGTTGAAGCATACAGGGATGAATTTGAGATGATCATTGCTCCACAGAAGAATGTTGACCGAGAAATACTAAGGGGGGTATTTCTCGCTGGATTAAAGCCAGAAGTCAAAGCCGAATTGAAACTGCATCAATCCAGGTCACTAGCTGAAGTAATGGATATGGCTTTACTGGTTGAGAAGAGGAATGAAGCAGTATCTGTTAAGAGACAGGAGGATGAGAGATTGGGTGGAAGGGATAAAGAGTCAGTTTATGATAAACCTCCCAGGTGGGGAGAAGGTTTCAGAACAAGAGCTGGTAGTTCAGGGGTTCAAAATCAGAACAAAACTAACCAGACTTGGTTTAACTCAGCAGGGAATAAGGAGACTGAAATTCATTCTTCAGGGATAAAAAGGGTTGGACCTCAGCTATCACAGGATAAATACCAAGAGAGAAGTAGGAAGGGGCTTTGCTTTAAGTGTGGAGAGAAGTGGAATAAAGAGCATACCTGCAAACTGAAGCATTATAAAATGATGCTTGTAGAAGATTCAGATGCTGAGGAGGAATCTGAAAGGATAGATCCTGAAATTACAGAAGAAGAAATTGTAATGGAGTCCAAATCCATGCAATTGTCACCCATGAGTAAGGAGGGGATACCTACCATGAGAGCCTTCAAAATTAAAGGAATTATGAAGTGGGATAGAGGGGTAAAACAAGTGGAAGTGCTGATTGATAGTGGGGCCACTCACAACTTCATTTCTAAGAAACTGGTGGATGAATTGGAGCTGCCTTTTAAAACCATTTCAGGATACAAAGTGCAGGTTGGTAATGGAGAAAAGCTATCTAATGATGGAAGATGTGAAGATTTGATTTATGTATGCAGGGTTCAATCATAAAACAAAACTTTTACTTTCTGACTTTGGAAGAAACTGACTTGGTTTTGGGAATGGAGTGGCTGACTACTTTGGGAGATGTGGAAATAAACTTTCGGAAACAAAGTATAAAATGGAAGATTCAGGGGTTAGATCAGCAGATTCAAGGGGACCCACACTTGAGCTCCATGGAGATATCACTGAAAAACATGACTCCGGTGGTGCAGGTGGTGCAGGACACTGGTGATGGTTATTGTATGTTTTATGAAGGGCAATCTGTGCAGGTAAAGAGTGTTGCTTGTGCTGGAAGTCAGGATAAAGTTCTGGAGGTTGACAACACTGTAATATTTCTGGGAGCTTTGGCAAAATCAGGGGTGCACGATGATCCAAAGTATATTGCAGTTGAAGAATCCAGGTTCACGCAATCTGATGCCAGGTTGGGGGTGATAGTAAAGGAAAGTGCAGGAAGGATGGGGAAGAAAATCTTGAGAACTGGGTTCGGAACTTACCAACTGTGGAAGTTTTACATTGAAGGTAGGAATTCTGGTTCCATACCAAAGATAACAGCTGCTGAAATATCAGGTTCTGGATTGAGCTGGGCAAATGAGTTTGATTTTGTATATCAGTTGGGTGGACTCGATATAGAACTGGATTCTACGTTTCAGACGGTTGTGATTGCTATCTCACAGATAGGGCACCTCGTGGATCTACCTTTAAAACAAGGAAGTGAGAAGGGAATCACAGCTGCTAGAAATTGGTGGGGTGAACTGAACATTCATAGTGAAATTATGCAGCAAATAACCGGGAACCATAGCTCTCTTCATTGGCAATCTAAACAGGAGGTTGGGAAGGACCCAACAGTGTCAGTACACCTGCTCATTCTGGCGGTGGTAGAGGTCAAGGGGAAGGCCCAAGTGCTGAAGCTAAAGATCCAGAATGCTTTGTGGTACTGGGTAGGGAGAGGGGCTCGGATGAAGATGAAGTTGATAATCAAGGCTGACTCCTATCACCCACCTTGAGGACAAGGTGGTTGTTTAGGGGGGGAGTAATGATAGGAATTATTAATAAGTGGGCCTATTATAGATATTAATAAGTGGGCCTGTGATTTTAATAGAAGGAAGAGGGTTATGGGCTATAAATAGTTGGGAAAATTAACTAATGGGGAGGCTGTGATTGAATTGGCATTTTGGCTTAGGAGAGTAGGCTTCTCGAACAGTCCTAGCTTTTGTATACGTATTGCGTTTAGCTCAATATCAATAAACATCTTCGATCGTTACTCCATATTTCTCATCGATCTATATTGTTTGCTGTTATATTACCTGTGATCTATCATTCCTATCACTTTTTAGATTAGCCAGCTATTCTTTCATATCAAATTGCCGCTGATCCATTCCCAACATGCAGGTATTTAGCCATTTAGATTATATGTTGATGAAGAATCAGTTCCCATCATGCCTGATGCTGATACCAGATTTTAAAGAGCACGCACCAGATCTTGTCCAAAGTGAGAACGAGAGAATGGAAACGAACTCGTGCAGAGGAATAGATGAATTTTTGGATCTATGATAAACACATAGAGAGAAGCGAAAATAGTAAGGCTTTATGGGGGAATTAATCAAGTGCCTAACCTTGTCAAGATATGCAAGATTCATTCTTCTAAAAAAAATAAATCAACAGGGGACCATTGTATATTTGTATTGTATATAGTTATTACAAGAACAAGAAGGTAAAACATAATCCTAATACTAGTAAACCTGAATTAAAAAGAGACCTGCTAAAACTGAATTAAAAACTCTAAAGTAAATACAGTATTAAAAAAAGCAATAAAGTAAATTAATAAACTTGCTACCAACCTTTTGCCACTTTTGGTGGTTTCATTGGGCTAAATTTCTCTGGGTTGATCACCCCTTTGACCCAAACCGTGCCTGCGATATCTGTGGCCCCAGAATTTGGCCATAACATTTCCCTATCAGAATAGCCATTTGCAAATGAAAATGTCTTAAATCAGCCAATGTATCAGCAGCATATTTTCTCCCTCAAGACGTCAGAAAAAGTAACCACATCTTGTTAAGCTTTCTTCTAATTTTCTGCAAACCCCCTACCCATTTATGATTTATCCTCTACAGTTATCAACCAGGGATAATAAGAGTCGGTTTCAACCCAGATTTGAATTTTTCTGTAAGCCAAACCTGCAGGCCTTTTACATAGATCATCACTGTCATCATCATTATTATCATCATTACCCCAGTGCTACAAAGGCTCCCACCTACGGTGGGGTAAGGGCACATAAATCATCACTGTCATTAACATAAATGTGGCACTTTTAAATTTTGTAAGCATTTCTCTAATTCACTCCAGAATATCACAAACAGGGGGGCAACACTGACAAGCAAAACTCACCTTCTGACACCTCAGAACCAAATTCATGTGAAAGACCTTGGGCTATAACTTATAGCTTAGGATCACATGAATTTGAGAAAATGGATGATGCTAATTATTAGCTATATTCAAATCCCATGCTTATGCATTGAGTTCAATGACACTACAACCCATCCATTTCTTTTGCTTACTTTCACCCATCAGTTGTCTCAACTTCTCTACCTCATCCCATCTGCCCTGATCGGCATATAAATTTGATAGAATGACATAATAGCTGGCATTTTTTGGGTCCAAAGAAATAAGCTGTTTAGCAACTAATTCGTGTATTTCACTTGCCCCTTGAGTTTTTCTACATCCAGCAAGAAGAGCTCCCCATATCCGCTTATCTGGCATGATGGGCATGTTATTCACAAATTCAAGAGCTTGTTCTACATTCCCTTGACGACTCAGCATATCCACCATACAAGCATAGTGTGCAAGTTTTGGTGTAATATCATACTTCTCTTGCATCGCATGGAACCAGTTCCATCCCTCGTATTCTAGGCCACAATGGCTACAAGCAGAGAGAACTGATACGAAAACAACATCATTTGGTTTTATCCCATATGACAACATCTCCAAGAAACACTCAAGAGCCTCACTCCCAAGGCCATTGATCCCATATCCGTTAATCATTGAACTCCAACATACGAGATCTTTGTTAGAGTTTTCATCAAAAGAAGATTTCCCTTGTTGTATTCTTCCAAATTTACAATACATAAAAATCAATGCAGATGCCAAAAATGCATTGCATGTATAACCAAATTTTATAACCTGTGCATGTATAGCTTCTCCAAAATCTTGTGCTTCCATTGAAGAACAAGCATGCAGTAAACTAACAAAAGAAAATTCGTTAGGTTTCCTGTTTTCCCATTGCATCCATCTAAGTATAGCTAGAGCATTAATGGGTTCCTCACTTTGGGCATATGCTGAGATCATTGCACTCCAAGCAATGATATCTTTTTCGCCAAGTGAATCAAATAAACTCCTTGCAGCTCCAATGTTACCGAAGTTACCATACATTTGGAGAAGGGCGGTCACAACAGAAACAAATTCCAAAAATCCTAATTTTAGTGCAAAGCTATGGATTTCTTGTCCAGTCTTTGTCTCATCCAATGTGGAATACATTCCAATTACCTCTCTTATTATGCTCTCATCCATTGGGAAGCAACAAAACTGCATCTCATAGAAAAAACTCAAGGCTACTCTTGGGCAGTCATTACTAATGCACCCATGAATGATACTCTTCCAAGAAACAAGATCCTTCCTTTCTATATTTTGGAAAATACTAATTGACTCCTTTATGCTCCCAAATTTACTATACATATCCAGAAGTGAATTCTGAATATTTAGATGAGAGATAAATGACTTTTTGATGGAAAACCCATGTAGTTCTCGCCCAATTCTCGAAGCACAAAGGTTCACACAAGCAGGTAAGATGCTCAAAATGCTAACATAGTTTGGTTCAACCCCACACAACTGCATTTCTTTAAAAAGGTCAATGGCCTTAATATACTCTCCAACCTTCACAAAAGCAGAAATAGTTGCACTCCACAGAATAACATCTTTGTCAGGTGCCAGTAGAAACAACTTAGATGCAGATTCCATATCCCAAACAGAATAAAAACCAAGAAGTGCTGTAATAATAGGTGTTTCAAATTCAAATCCCATTTTTATTGCGAAACAGTGAATTTCCATCACCAACATTTCTGAACCCATACATGAAGATGCTTGAATGGAGCTGAGAACTGTAACATAGTTTGGCTTTTGATTGCTCATAAGCATTCTTTTAAAAAGATCAATGGCCTTTTCCGGCTGGTTCTTCTTTACGAAGTCTGAGATCGTCGATGTCCATGACACCACATCACTGTGTTCATTTCCAGACAGGAGACTGACTCGGCCTTGGTAATGCAAATTTCGAGTTACATTGTATATTGAGGTTCTGGTTGAGAAGTTTCTTTGGGAAAATACTACGAACAATTTGTAGGCATTCCGATTTAATGAGCGCATGAGATAATCCAGGGCCGGTCTTGAGAAAATGGAGACCCTGTGCAACGATAAAATTTGAGCCTTTTTTCTAAGTTCCAACACAAGTAGATTGTGTTAAAATAATTATGTTTGGCATTTTTCAATTTAAATTTTTAAATCTAGTCCTGTACGTATTTATAAATTATAAATTAAAACTCAATTTAAATTTATGGTGCAATCATGAAAAAGACTATACTAGCATTATTATAACTAGATGAAGTGCCCGTGAGATGCACGGGTACATCTAGCATAGAATAACAACTTGTTTAAATGATCTTTTATAATGATGATTGGTAATGTGTAATTTTGTTAAAAAAATATAGTACAGTTTAAGAGGCCGTTTGGTAATCCAAATATTCATTTTATTGATCAACTTTTTACCAAAAACATAATTGATTTTACGCGTTGAATTGTGTAATAATAAAAAAACTTAACGGGTGCAAATTCAATCTAATATCTAAATTGAGGTCCTAAATCTAATTTTGTAATACTCGGCCAACAAAATCTAATTTTGTAATACAATATCATTTTTCAAATTTGTATTAGAAAGTACTACTTCCGTTGGGACCAGCCTATTATGATATACTCCCTCTGTCCCGAAATGAAGTTCCCGGTTTGACCTACACACATATTTATGTAAGAATGTAAGATAAAGTTTTGTTTTGAGTAGTTGTGACTTATTGGTTAAAAGTAGTTTCCTTTTATAGAAATGAGAACTTCTTTTAGGGACATCCATAAAAGGAAAGTGAGAACTTTTTTTCGGGACAAGGGGTAGTACTATCATATAATTTATATTATTACCAGGAGATAAAGAAAAATGCTAGTTGTACATTTTATTTGTGTGATAATTTATTTATAAGTGTTCAAACAAAAAGTGTTTTATATTTGTTAATAAACTAAAAGTAGTGTTTTCAAAGATGGATTTTACTTAAATTAAATATTTCAAAATATAAAGTTGTAAGCGGAATATGCTTTAAATTGTTTTCACTTTTTCCACAATGATAAAAATAATTTATCCTTCTCGCAAACATGGTCAATTTTGCTTATGTAACTGTCCAAAAAACTTTATTTGCCATTTTTATTTAAAGTAATAGATATGGCAAACATATTTAGGGTTGTCTTGATTACGATCATTTTTGTCATATATATGTTAAGTCATATTTTATGTGTTTTGAATAAGAAAAATAGTCATCTTTAAAGACTGCAATTAATTTTGAGATACTCATTACTTAAATGGTTGAGCAATTAGAAATTTTCTATATTTGTGGTTATCTATATGTTAATCGAATTTCACATAAGGGTATATCAGTCAAATTTGCTACTGCCCCTATATATCTATACTTGTGCGGTTTTTAATTTTTAATGACAGTAATGAGTATCTATTAGTAATTGGCTGCCGCCTGCCGCCCATATATATTTATTATTTATTCAACATTTATTTCCAATTATATCCTTCAAATGGGAAAGAATTTTGCCTCCAAAAAGTGTAGCAATTTTGCTACTTTATATAATATAAAGATTTATGAACCTCAGATTACCTAATAATATATTTATACTAATTTCTTAAATCTTTATTGTTAAACACTTAAACACATTAACACATTTATTATCAATCCAATAAATCATTTACTTTAACTGCAAAAATTAACAAATAACAAAAATGCAACAATTCAACACACAAGAAATCAAAAAATCAGAAAATAAACATATAACAACAATTCAACAATCCAACAATTCAACAAACGATTCAACAATTCACATCAATTCGCGATTAAACAAATCAGGTAATCTGAAAATCAGTGGACTGACCGGACTAGTGGAGCTGTGGAGGCGCGGAGGCAGGGCGCGGTAGGCCTGTGGCGGGATGGCTCTGGGTGGCGCCGTGGCAGCGGTCGGTCGACGTTCGTCCTCCGTCAGTCCTTCGTGGCTTCATCGGTTCGTCGTTCCAGAGCAGTAGAGCAACTTCCCTTTGCGTTTCCCTTAGTTTTGACCTTTCAAAATCTAACCGAATTAGATAAATTGAACTTATTAAAATATGCTCCGTATTACGGAGTATTTTATTTTGTTAACCATTAAACACTAATTCTATATCACTGTTAGTTTGATTTTCTAGTGCTAAAAAATAAATATTTTATCTTATCTACTCCGTAAGATGTTAGATTGTTATGTTTGTGGTTTAATAACTTTAATTCAGCTTATAAAATCACTCTCAAAAAAATCAGCTTATAAAATCAATTTATTCTTTTATTCCATACATTAATACCACTAGTCCACTACATATATCTATTACAGAGTAATATTTTAATGTGTGTATTTGTGTAGGCCGAAAAGTAGTATTCCAGACCCGCTAAGTTAATAAAGGATCTGAACCCAACCCGTATATCCGGCATGTATAAAAATTTGGATCCGGACCCAACGGGTCCTGGAACTGGGTCGGGTAGACTCGGCAAGTATGATATGCATAACATTATAAATTTTGTTGAAATAAAAAGATATGTATATGAAATGTAAAATGAAGTTTGCAAACTTAAAAGAAAAAGATATCTTCACTTTTAAAAAGGAAATTAAAGTTTCTCATAGAAAATTAGTACATTTATCCGATATGGTATTGGTTCTTATAGAGACATATAACTTCACACTATATGTCTCTTTTTCTCGCACAGAAAGCTTGTAGATTAGACTAGAAAATAGGTCACAAAAAAGTCTTTTGAACTACGCAGAGTATAAAACCTTATTATATATGATAATGATATAATAATAATATTAATAATAATGAATATTGGGCTTTGCTTATCGAGTCCAATATGCATTTTATCAGTATCTATAAACGGCCAAAATGGATATTAGTTTTAGGACATCTCAGTATCTCGATTAGTATCACTTATATAGTAGGTGTGTATTAGTGTGTATCTTTTTAATTAAAGAATTACAACTAATAACTTTATGTATTAGTACGTGTATGTGTGTGTATTAGTTTGTATTTTTTTGTTTGAAGTATTATACCTAATCACTTTATGTATTAGTGTGTGTGTGTGTGTGATACTAATAAGAAATTTAAACGGATCTGGTTCCTTAACAGAATAAAACATAGACTCATACCCGTTAAAAACAGTCGGGTCCAGGTCGAGTTCGGGTCTAGATCCGACCCATTGACAGGCCTATATTTGTGGTACTTTTGTTTTTGTATTATAAAATTTTTATATTGCGTGAACTAGGGATGGGCAATTCGGTTTACGGTTTGTTTTTCTTTGGTTTGATTTCGGTTTATTGAGTTTGGGAGAATTTGTACTAAACCTTTTGCAGTATGCTAAGTTTAGCACACCGAAAAGAGCTAAGTACCCAACCATTAGTTATTTATTTGTTGAAGATAATGTTCTTACTCCTAAAATGCATGATCATTATTTATTAGGGACAAAATTTCCCGAATGATGGATATTCGCCGTCATTTTAAAATTAAATGATTGATTTAGTGGATCGACCGGCTAACCCACGATCGGGTGTAATTACGCGATCGGAGTGTTCCCGTAGGATATCACTCCGACGACGCGTTTTTATACAATGAAGTCCTGCTAGGCATCGAGTGCTAATACATTAAAGTATTAAGTGTTATTAGTTGAATCACCATTATTTAGTGGGGATAAAATGTTCCCGAATTAAATAGTGTTGAGCGAGGAAGCTCGAGTGATAAAATCACCATCATTTTAATGAAATGATTGGTTTGACTGGGTGTATCGGTCCACCCCCGATCCGGGCCAAATTAATTGGCCGAAGCGTCCCCGATGACGTATTTTATTTTTGAGACCATTCATGGTCCCGCATGACATAGAGTGCCCGAACGGCAATCGAACCCAGTACGGGGTGAAATACGTACTTTGATTAGTTAAAACTTTTTTTAGAACGACCCTGCCAACCGCTATGTGGTTCCGATCGTGGACTCTGGCAGTTCGAAGAATAAATCCAGGTCAAGGGTTGTTATTATCTTCTTGGCCGATACACATGAATAGAAAATAATGAAACAAAAGAAATGTTATACTTGTGTGTGTATATACTGGTATATGTTGTTCGGTCATGCAGCCGTATTACTTTGCTTATTGTGCAGTGGAATCCGTTCGACATGCTCGAGCTGGGAGATCCATGATTTTTGGCATGAAGCGCGAAGACGTTCATGTCCGACAAAGAAAAGAAGAAATCACAATTAGGCAAAGCCGTTCGATAAACTCGAACGGGAAAATCTATGATGTTCAGCATGAAGCGCAGAAATGTTCATGACTGGCAACGTAAAGAGATTCAGGGAAAGTCGTTCGGTCAGCTCGAACAGGGAGATCACGAAGCACAGAGACGTTCAAAAAAAGAGAGAGAAAAAAGAAGTTCCAGGAAAGAAGTCCTACGAGATACCGTTCGGAGCCGTTCAAGATTCGGAAAAGAAGATAGGAATTCAAAAAAGAAGATAGGAATTCAGAAAAGGAGATAACGAGTCCAGAGAAATCCGTGACTAGCAATCCGAGCCCACCGTTTCGGCACCTAGAGCAAGCTTCACGGGCAGGGGGCGCCTGCAAGACCCTCGGACATTCTTGATTACGATCGGCCACCCCGGCACGACGTGATCATCATTGAGAGTCTTAGCGGTTTACAACTCCATAATCCACGGAGGAAGACTTATTGTTCGGATCATCATTGACTACTTCTATACCTTCACAATCGGCCACCCCGGCACGATGTGATCATCATTGAGAGCCCCTGTATTAAAAAAGAGAGAGAAGGAATTCAGGGCTCCCCAAATGTCACTTTGACCGCTAGTATAGAAGAACCAAATGTTAAAAAAGAGAGTCTCACCTCAACTTTTAACATGTAGAGTCATTCCGTGTGACCGAATGACGAACGTGTTAATAGTTTGGAGGGAGCCATCATCTCAGCTAACAGAATTTGACCCTGGGCACACCAATGAATGAAGGGATCAAAGCGGCTTTGAGGGAATCACCTCAGCTAACAGAATTTGACCCTGGGCACACCAATGAATGAAGGGATCAAAGCGGCTTGGAGGGAATCACCTCAGCTAACAGAATTTGACCCTGTGATCACGAATGAATAGAGCAATCAAAACGGCTTGGAGATGGTGTCAAAACCATAAGTATGGACGAGCTGAGCGACGTTCGGTAACATGGATTGTCGTCCGGGGGATCGGAACTATGGTTTTAAAATGTCGCCTCAGTCATTAACTTGATTTGGAAGTGAGTCACCATTTTAGCTTAAGTAGGAAGTCACCCGATCCGGTGATCTTGCTTACAGTTTGAAAGTGGTCACCTCAAACCCTTAATATGGATGATACGAATCAGAGAAAACTCTTCGGAATGCATCAGAATTATGGGTTTGGAAGGGAGAGAGTCTCACCTCAGCTTTCAACACGTAGAATCATTCCAGATGACCGAATGACGAACGTGTTAACAGTTTGGAGGGAGCCATCATTTCAGCTAGCAGAATTTGACTCAATCAGAATGGCTTGGAGATGATGTCAAAACTATAAGTGTGGACGAACCTGAGTCGCGTCCGGTAACCCTAAATATGAAGGAATCGGGAGTTCAAGATTGGGGAAAGAATCGAGTTTTATTCTTCAACACTACTCGCCGGAAAATACAAAAGAAATCAAGAGTAATACAACTTGGGGAAAATATTATGTTGTTGAAGGATCCCTGATCGGGGAAGATAGAGACTGAGAACCGCCAGCCTGCGTCGGATCATCAGAAACTGCCTTTTGTCTTTAGCATGGGTGGCCTGGATCATCAGAACTATGGGATTGGAGGATGGCGAGTCGAGTCAAGTCGAGTCGAGTCCATGTTTGTCGAGTCGAGTCGAATCGAGTCCATGTTTGTCGAGTCGAGTCGAGTCCATGTTTGTCCAGGTCAAGTCGAGTCGAGTCAGGTCCACATCTGTCAGAGTTGAGTCAGGTCCATTCCTTCCGATCATGGCCACGTAATGACCATGGCAATGACCATGGCAGTGTAAGTCCATATCACAGCAAGGCCCATTTTTATGAAGCACGAACGGGCTCCACGGCACCGTCGTGCCTGACTCTCGGTCGGGTTCGTCCATCCTTGATCTAGGATGACAACCTCCGCTTTTATGCAGCACGATCAGGCTCCACGGCACCGTCGTGCCTGACTCTCAGTCGGGTTCGTCCATCCTTGATCTAGGATGACAACCGCCGCTTTTATGCAGCACGATCGGGCTCCACGGCACTGTCGTGCCTGACTCTCAGTCGGGTTCATCCATCCTTGATCTAGGATGGCAACCGCCGCTTTTATGCAGCACGAACGGGCTCCACAGCACCGTCGTGCCTGACTCTCGGTCGAACTCGTCCATCCTTGATCTAGGATGACAACCGCCGCTTTATGCAGCACGAACGGCTGGCTCATCAGCGCCGTCGTGCCTTCTTTCCGGTCGGGCTCGTCTATCCTTGATCTAGGATGATGACCGCCGCTTTTATGCAGCACGAACGGGCTCCACAGCACCGTCGTTCCGGACTCACGGTCGGGCTCGTCCATCCTTGATCTAGGATGATGACCGCCGCTTTATGCAGCACGAAGGCTGGCTCATCAGCGCTGACGTGCCTTCTTTTTTATCGAGCTCGTCTATCCTTAATCTAGTATGGCGACCGTCACTTTTATGCAGCACGAGTGGCTGGATCTACAGCGCCGTTGTGCCTAGTGCGGGATTGCACCTCATTTATGGCTTATGCATGCCTTGCGCCAAAGATTATTCAAAGACTGATTCAAGAATGGCGGGAAAGGATGTGAGCAAGAGTATACTTTCTCGAGTAGTTTTGCGGGCTCACTACTCCAGAAATTGGGGGACTTGTGTTGGGGAATATTATCCCGGCCTACTACTGTTCAGAGGCTCAATACATCGCCCCGGTACGGGGCCCGGTCTGTGAGGCTCGTTTAGGCCCCTCAGGCCCATTTGGAGCCATTTAGGCCTACTTGGCCTACTTGGGTCTGCTTTGGCCCACAAAGGCCTTTTCGGCCCATTGGCATAAAAGG